TACAACCTGCGGAGACGCGATTCAACATACAGGCCAGGTGACAAAGTCTGGGTTTGGACGCCCGTTCGCCGCCGAGGATTAAGCGAAAAACTCATGCGCCGTTATTTCGGCCCATACAAAGTCATCCGTCAAGTGGGTGAAGTGGACTATGAAGTGGTCCCTGATGGGGCTAGCTCATCCCAACGACGCCGCGCACGACAAGAAGTGGTACACGTCGCCCGTTTGAAGCCCTATCATGCGCGCTAAAGGAGGCTCCCTGTTTGCATCTCTTGTTTTGTTTATGTGTGCGTGATTCGTGCTTATTTGCCATTTACTTTCGCACAGGCTGTCCTTTTGTTTTGGTTTTATTTCAAACAAAGCATCGGGTCGATGCTTACGTTGAGGAGGGGAGCAATGCCGCGAGGCGTATTCCGGATAGTGTTGCGCATGCCGATACCGCCGGCACGCGGCCTTATCGTGGTCCAGGATGCACCGCGACTCATCTGCGAAGATCATGGCCCGCACGTCGACCATTCGTTGATAACGAGATAGCGCCAGACGCTACGGCGACTGTGTCTCGAATGGCGAACGCGCCTTGCGTTCCAGTGGGACATTTCTGTTACCCGACGGCCGTCGAACGCGCTGTTCGCCTCCCGCTAAGCCAGTGTGTTTTTTCTTCCTTTAGTGGGCGCAAGTCCACCAAATAAACGGATCTCCTTCTATTTCTACTAACCTCCCGGTCTCCTGTCTTCGGGCTACCCTCACTCTTACGTGACAATATTAACACATAAGCAATTAGCGGTTGAAGGGTGCATTAGGGGCTGGATTTAGCTATCGCGTTCAAGGCGAAGCTTAAGGGTCTCCCAATTTTTTTGATATTGTGGAGCTGCCGTGTCTGGTGTTGCTGATCGTGACAGCATTGTGAACTTTATGGTTATGCTTACTAGTAATGTTAGAACAATATCAGAGGTGGCTCAGAGGTTTGGGGAATACCAAAGTGCGAGGCTACGCATTAATTTTACACCCAAAGCACTGCGCTCCATCCGCCAGAGAGTTCTACGCCTCGCATTAGCGTCTTGATCGTCAAGTGCCACAGCACCTGCTCTTCATCATCAATCTTGATAGCTTTTCTTTTCTCGTGAGCTGCCAAATGGATGATCCTGTCACTAATAGCAACCTTTATACATAAACATAGTGTTGTATTTCAGATTGCTACAAATGCATAATATGCAGTCCAAGATAAAGAACACATTAACAGTGGTATGATGCATTCCAGCAAATATGTCATGTTCATTATTGTCATCATCAGCCAGACTATGCCCACTGCAGGGCAAAGGCCTCTCCCATGTTCCGCCAAATGACCCGGTCTTGTGCTTTCTGCTACCACATTATAGCTACAAATTTTTTAATCTCATCGGTCCTCCTAGCTTTCAGTCTTCCCCTCATGTGTTTGCCTTCTCTGGGAATCAAGAGTGTGCTGTTAACTATGTGGCTACATTTACACAGTAAGAATGTCAAATAAGTTTATTATTAGCATCTCAAGAATACTAATACAAATAAAAATAGTGTGCCAGATTGCTGTACCTTAATAGCACAGCGGCAGCCATAAAAGAGGTGACGCAATGACAACACATAATATGTAATACATTTCTTAGTGTTTTATGAATCAATTCATGACTTTTTATTTTGAAATGAAAAAAAAAATTATACATTTGCTATTGTTACCCAAGACACACAACTTGTAAATAAGTTAAACAAGGTGAATGAGGTTAACGATGATTGCTATGTGGAGTTTAACGTCCCAAAACCACCATATGATTATGAGAGACGCCGTGGTGGAGGGCTCCGGAAATTTCGACCACCTGGGGTTCTTTAACGTGCATCCAAATCCGAGCACACGAGTCTACAACATTTCTGCCTTCATTGGAAATGCAGCCACCGCAACCGGGATTCGATCCTGCGACCTGCAGGCCAGCAGCCGAGTACCTTGGCTACTAGACCACCGTGGCGGTTAATAGAGAAATTAAGGTTAATAGAGAAATTACACCTAGTACTACATAATGAATTTTGAGGTGATATAGCATGAGAGAAATTTAAAAATTGAATGAAAACTGTAAATCCACAGATATATGTACTATCAAGCTTGTAATTGTGGTTACCTAGTGTGTGGCTTGCCCAGTTTTAGCAACCGCAAATTTAGAACACACTCTAAAGAACGGAGGAAGCGTCGAAGCAGAGAAGAGAAAACTTGGGATAGGCAAAAACCAGATATATGCACTAAGAACAACGAAGGCAAAGTAACTATTAATGTGAATAGGATATAGTTGAAATAGCAGAGCAGTTTTACAGATATCTGTACAGTAGCCGGGACAGCCATGACTGCAATTTAAGGCCTAGTAGTACCCTGTATGACATCCCACCAGTAATGACAAAAGTCAGGAAAGCCTTGGAGGGAATGCAAAGAGGCAAAGCTGCTGGTGAGGATCAGGTAACATCAGATCTGCTGAAAGACTGAGGACAGATTGTGTTAGAAATACTGGCCACCCTGTTAACGAAGTGTCTCCTAACGGGGAGGGTACCAAAATCTTGGAAGAATGCTAACATCATCCTAATCCATAAGAAAGAAGACAAGAAGGACTTGAAGAATTACAGGCTGATCAGCTTGCTCTCTGTCTTATACGAGCTATTTTTACAAAGGTAAAAATTGCTATCAGAATTAAGACATTAGAATTCAATCAACCAAAGTATCAAGCAGGATTTCATGCAGGCTGCTTAACAATCGACCACATTTATACTATCAATCAGGTGATAGAGAAATGCTCAGAATACAGCCAACGACTATACATAGCCTTCATAGATTACGTGAAAGCATTTTATTCACTAGAGATATCAGCAGTCAAGCAGACACTGCGGAATCAGGGCATCAATAAACATATATAAACATCCTGAAAGAAATCTACAGAGGGTCAACTGCCACCATAGAGCTCCATAAAGAAAGCGACAGAATACCAATAAAGAATGATGTAAGACAAGGGAATACAATCTCACCAATGCTATTCACTGCTGTGGATGGCATTTTGTGAAAAAAAAAAAAACAGACCAAAAGGAAGAGAGCACAGACAGGTGCAAACTGACAACTGAAGTTCATTTTCGGAAGAACACACACATAAAGGAAACACTAAACCATATGGTTAAAATTACAGTTTGGCAGTTAGATAATCTACCTCGAGTTTATGTAGGTTCACCGATTGCCTCGCCACACATAGATTACCGGAATTATGTACGACTTTAAAAGGCCTCAAATACTTCTAGCATGGTCCTATCTTTGAACCTTAACAATGCTTGTTTCATTTAGTAAAGGATGACATCCAAATTTCTTGCAATACAGGCAGAGATTAGATGAAGGTTGCCCTTTGAAGAACAGAAGAATGCTCGGTTCTCTTAAGCTATTTACTGCGCACTTACAGGGGGTTTTCAGTGGCCTAGAATAGTAAGAGTTAGGAATAAGGGTTAATGGAGAACACCTTAGTAACCTGCGCTTCGCCAATGACTTTCCATTGCTAACTCAGCCGATGAATTGCAATTCCTGATTACTGAATTAGACAAGGAGAGTAGAAAGGTAGGTCTTGATATTAATTTGCAGAAAACGAAAGTAATGTACAATAACCTCGGAAGAGAACAGCAATAGATAGGTAGCAGTGCACTTGAAGTTGTAAAATAGCACATCTACTCTTAGGACAGGTAGTAACCGTGCAGCTGAACCACAAGATTGAAATAACTAGAAGAATAAGAATGGGATGGCGCACTTTTGGCAATCATTCTCAAATCATGAATTATAGATTGCCGGTATCTCTAAAGAGGAAGGTAAATAACAGCTGCATCTTGCCAGTACACTCCTACAGAGCAGAAACCTGAAGGATTACAAGAGGGTTCAACTTAAGTTGAGGACAACACAGCAAGCAATAGAAAGGAAAATGATGGGTGTAACCCTAAGGGACAAGAAGAGTGTATCGGGCAACTTATGGGGTGTTAAGGACATTGTAGTCGAAATCAAGAAGAAGAAATGGTCATGGGCTGGGAACGTAGCACGAAGGCAAGATAACCGCTAGTCATTAAGGATCACAGACTGGATTCCAAGAGAAGGCAAGCGGGTGAAGAGGAGACAGAAAGTTATGTGGACAGACGATATTTGGAAGTTGTGGGTATAGAGTAGCAACAGCAAGCACAGAACCAAGTTGACTGGTGGAACACAGGAGAGGCCTCTGTCAGGCAGTGGGCGTAATCACGCTGATGATGATAAAAAAAAAAGGAAGCACTCTCCTCACCTGCTAAACAGTGTTCTGACGGAGATGAATGTTACTGCAGTTTTTACGTAATAAATGGGTAAGTTTCCAGGCTTGACGTGCGATCTCCTTGAGTAAGAAAGTATTCTAAGCACTTTTAGGTACGGGTAATTAAAAAAGAAAAAAAGGTGCATTAAATGGACATCCTGCGGGCGCAGCTCGAGAAGGATGAGATTGCTCACCTAATCTCGTATACAGAAGTATGTACTGAATACTTTGCTCAAGTTCTTCGCCAGTCAAAAGTTCGAACACTGCTCAGGCAAAAGGAACAACAGACTTGTGGCAGAGTACCGTTTCACATACTGCCACATGTGCTAGAAAGCGCTTCAGTCATGGAGAGCTCTAACTGAAAGACAAGCAGCTATGCACAAAACTAGCATGTGTCTGATATCAACAAGGAAAAGCCATCACAAGATGGCAACAGCACAAACCAACATCAAGCAAACAAGGAATACCGCAGCTTGAAAGTGACATCTCGACATTGGTGCTCTTTAAAATGCTCATGACAAGTCAGTGTTGCAATGTCGACTTCATGCTAAAGGTTCCCTAATTTACCCAATGTTATTCAACGCAAGTTCCTCGCTCTTATGCTGCTTTGCAATGGTAAAGAATTCACTGTCTTGAGCGACTGCAATACTGAAGCTTGCTCGTTGCCAGACCAATCACTGCAAAGTTCGGAAGACTTCATTAGCACTTTTTTTTATAGAGCGACTCATTCACAATCACGCAAAAATGCTAAAGTTTCATACTCACAACCACAAGTCTTTTTTTATTTGTCTATCAACTTGCAACTAGTATCTAGCATCTAATGCTCCTTTTGGATGTCTTGAAAATTTTGTCAAGAGTGGATTCAGAAAATGTTCAGATAAGTTTGACAAGAAAACAGGTTTGCATTGTGATTAAATTCACCATATTGCGTATTTGCAGTATAGGTGTATTTCAATAGCAACAGTAATAGTAAAGTTCAACAAGGCAAACCATCCCCTAAAGGGCCCTTCACCAGGTTTCGGCAGTGCAAGCAAACAATCAAGGCACATAAACATGCACCTACAAGGTATTCACCAATATACACTGCAAAAATAACAGAAAACTTTGACAAAAGCCCGCACACATTTCCCCCCACGAAGAGAAAATGGTGGCTATGAGCAAGCTGACATGGGCACGGTCCTTGTGCACTATACAGCACCATGCAGCCATACAAGCACTAAGAATAGCAGAAAGACATCTAGGACTCTGGTGAGTTCATATTATGCTGAATTTTCCTGAAATGCACCATATTGAAGAGAAAAGAGTGCAAGGATAGACGGGGAAGTTGTGTGTTGGGAGTCACGTGACGAGATAAACAAATGTTACTTGTGGAAACTATTCGAAAGAGCCCCCAAGTGGCGAGGAGAAGGTAGCTCGTCTCACGCCACCGTGTGTTATATCTACATGCGTACACCTCAGCTACTACTAAAAAATTTTAAAAAATTGCTGCAGTAGAGCACTTCTTTGATGGCTCTTAACAAAACTTCAAGCACATTGCCTAAATTTTCAATGGGGCTTCCAAGGGGTCCTTAACGAGTCGGGGGTAATGGGAAGGGAGACGGCAGGCAGCCATCTAGTACTTGGAAGGATAACTTGGCCGATCTTCCATACAGCAACACAATATACTACTTCTCACAATTGGCCCACAGAATGGGCTCCAGCAAATGATCGTTGAAAAATGTAAGCAGTTCTTTTACACTACTGCTTTGCCTTGTTCCTCCAAATTACTTCACCCACATACACCGTGGCAGCTTAGCAGGTAAGGTGTTGCACATCTAATCTCGTGCAAGGAGTTTGATTCCTGCCCACATCAACCAGATTCGAACGGGGGGCAAAGTGGAAGAAAACCTGTGCATGTTAAGAAACCCCGAGTAGCCGAACCCACCACGATGCGCCTCATAACCACATTGTGATTTTGGCACACAGAGCCCCAAAACTTAAATTTTGTACATATAACTACAGCTCAACAGCCTTTTTTCTGTGTATCATAGTCGCGACAACTGAAGGATCATTCTGCTGAAAGAACTTTGAAAACACTTAGAGGCAAAGACAAATGCAATCGTAATAGCTCATTGGCACCTTAAGCGCTATTTTAGGATAATTCACAGCATACAGCACAACAGTTACATTTTGGGTGATTTTCCTCAGTACCCTGCTTGTAAAACGCAGCCTTCAAGGAAAGGGGCAGCTAGGCCCAGTAAGTTTTTTGTTTGTTTGTTTTCTTTCTCAAGCGCATGCAACACATTTCACAATAATGCTTGCTACGGCGTCATTACCCTTTGTGAATATTACTAAGAAACTGAACACTATTTTTGTCCTGCCTACATTACTCACTGTTTCAACTTACGCAAAGAGACATGAAAAAAAAAAAAAAAACCTTGCGACACGAAGCGTTCCAAGAACTTTCTATGAAACTGCAACCTTGCAGACTTGAAGAAGCCAAATCCCTTGGCCAAAACCTTGGCTCAAGCAACATGCCGTGCTCCAATAACTTTTTCATTGCTTCAAGATTCTATCTTCCCCTGAACAAAAGGGAAAATTGATCTTTGCCTAACAAAAAAACATGTACACACTTCTTTTTTTTTTTTTTTCAAATGACCAAAGTAGCAGCATGGAATTAAAGTTGCGAAAACAGGCATAAGGTGTGTGAAGCACCTTACCCGAGTTTGTACATTTATTTTACTGCATGTTCCAACCACTTCACCTCTCATCTTAACAGCAGCAGCACATATGCTTTATAAAGCTCATGTGCCCCACTCAGCATTAAATCAAGAGCACACAGTTCACTTCCTTGTACTATGAGGTAAGCAGCACACCGCTTTGAAATCAAGGTCGCACTGCCACGTGATCTCGTTGGGCTCAACGAAGATGTTGTGCTCATGCATAAGCACACCAGTGTTACGGCATGACATGGACACATTGCTTATGCTAGAACTCTTAAGTTAGCCACATGCCCATGGACATCTATAAAAGAACTGTGGTCTGTTTACTTTTGGTTCTTGGAGTTCAATTTGCCTTGGCTACATTAAAGTGAATACAAAGCTTAACACCAAAAAACAAATGGGGACAAACACTTCCTTTTTAATACTGTAACATATACAAAAAGGAATACTATAACTGCTCTATTTAAAGGGCCCAAACTGAGGCCCTAAGCTTAAAAAAACACAGTTGCGATCTGTGTTTTTTAACACTACATTACAGTATATAACACACCATATGCAGAAAGTTGTAAAAGGTGTTTGGGAAACAAGTTTCTTTATGAAGAAAACGAAATATAACACATAGTACCACTGCCTGATACAGATGGCAGCTAAGTGTATGTTGTAACAATGAAACGTCCGCGCATCAAGTGTAACAGGTCACCAAACACACAGTTGCATCGATTTTATGCCTGTATGTAAACTCAAGAGATGGGACTGCGAACTTAAAACATCGAGTGAACAGTTCCACAAGAAAGACTAGATTGGGCCGGCTGAAAAACGCTGCAGGCCGTGGATCACAACTGGGCGGAACTGTGTCAGTAGCATGCTCCCACTCAAAAAAAGAACAAAAAATATCAACATATCAGAGAAGAAACATGTGCTGCCTTCGGGCCCCTACATTTTTGGTCACTGTGGAGACTGCATTGCTAGGCTACCACCAACTACATGATGCTGCAAATTTGACTCTGAAACGACTGCTGGTCGGCACGAACTCCTTCTTTTACATCGACGTACGGTTTTCCCGAGCCACTGTACGCGTAGCACTTCTTCGTCTCCCCGTAGGAGAGAAAACTCGAAGGACGCTGTTTCTCCCGACGTTCCAAAAACAGCACCTGCGCCGTGTCTTCATAGCGTCGTTTGATGTCGCCCACGGATTCAGCAATACCAGGGACTGGAGCCGCCTTGTTCATTCCCTCTTGTGCTAATGGAAGGCCACTCCTGCAAAACGAAAGCCCTGGGCTCAGCGCAATACTCCAACGGCAAGGTTCTGAGTCCCACTAATAAAGCCAGACAATTCACCCCTTCCCCGAGTCGTTCGGAAAGAATCGGGAGTGTGTGTCACGTAACACTGCCAATGGTATGAGAAAAAAAACTACAAAAGGCATCCAAGCCTTTACATGCTGCTGCAGTTGGTCATAAGTCAGCATTTGTATTTTCATGCGGCGGTGCAATGATCGTGCACATAACTTCTAAATGACCATTGAAACTGCTTGGCGCGCGTAAAGCTTCGTGCTAACTTGGTTAACTTTCCTGCCTTTCGTTCTGTACCATTTATTTTCTCTTCGCTCTAATTGATCACCGAACAATAGTAGCACATAGCGTCACGGCAAGCAGGCGGAAGGGGACATCGCTGCTAGGAATGAGCTCGACAGAACAACGTTGGAAGTGAGCGCGGCGAACACAGGTAAACGACGCCACGAATAGGAGGAACACAGGGCATACAGGACGTATAAACATACCCAGTCTCTGCGTGAGCATCCGGTGAGTTCTAGAACAATACGCCGACGCGCTACGTTCTTGTTGTTTGGAGAAGAGCGTAGGCGTTTGTTTGAAAACAGACTAATGCTAACATGCCGAAAGCTCTCAAATCGCTGCCGACAATGAGCTAAATGGACTCGACACATTGGCGTCTGCAGCCATCATGAGCATGGTTGCCGACAAATTGCCGACGTTTGCCAAACAAATTGTAAAAAAAAAAATACACCTTAAAACCATCTCGTAGGCTTCCCGGCAAGGTATAATTACAGTAAAAAGGTTACATTATGCGGTGTTTTAATTGCATTTGGCAAATTTTGAACAGTTGCTTCTCTAACTTCCTGACTCCAAAATTTTTATAGTGACCTCCAAGACTGGTGATCAACAACAGGCCTTAGAGCACGGAGGAAGGCCTTAGAGTTTCTTATAATAATACCTAGAGGAAAATGTGGCGCTAGCATCTACGCGGACTCCTTTAGTGCGCCCACTGTGGTGGCTGGAAAGAGTGGTGTCAGCCATAGAGTTTCCCACAATACTTACTAGATGAACTCTGGCGCTAGTGTCTACGGGAGCTGCCATAGAGTTCCCACAATATTTACTAGAGGGAACTCTGGCACTAGTGTCTATGGGAGTTGCAACACACGGCGCTTAAGGTGGCGGTCCCACTCCAGTGGCAAGAGCTCGACATTTTAGTCGTTGTTTACTGGCTCACTGTGCTTGCTCTGCTCAATGGAAGAATATGAGTTCTATTGCATTAGAAAGTTTACGTTCTCCACGTTCTAATGACAACTAGTATTTTCGCCTAGTCTGGAGTGTTATTTAATGGCAATTAAAACAGTGTGAGCAAAAAACAGCGTTTTTGCTGTACAAGCCTCCGTTGTACTGCCAGTGCAGCAAAACTGTCCAACATAACAAAATGAAATTTGCTGAGCCTTTTAACGAAGCGTTATGCAAGGTTTCTATGAAGAGATATTGCCAGTAAAGCAATTAGAAATTGATGCACGCTCTAATAAAAATGGGCAAAAGAATGAAAGTTTATGAGTAAATAACTTTTTTTCTATTTTGTGCAGGACAACAATATTGAATGAGTTTCCAGGCTACAATGTACATTATGTGTACGCGAAGTTGTTTTGTGTTCTGATGAACAGTTCTTGAATTATTACTCCTTCAATACGGCAATTTATGGCGCTACTTGGTCAGGCATTACCGACGAAGGGACAAAACTATCCAAGCTGAAACTCTGAAATCTTCAATAATAAATCAGCAAGCCTTTCCCTAGGTTTCTATGAAGAGAAAATTGTCGTAAGTTAATTAGAAAATTTGTAGGACAGCAGTGAATTTAGCTCATTTTTCTGCTTGCCAGGTTCGTGCAAAGTTCCTTTTTTTGTCTTTTGTAGGCTAATTCACAACAAGTATTGCACATTAGCAGGACCATGTAGTGTCTTGTAATCACCAGTACTTACTAACTTACGAAGCGGTGCTTGAAACAAAAGATTTTTCAAAAATATTAAAGCTCGCAAACACTTTTGATGGTGGCGCCCTCTGTCGAAAAAACATCAAGTTGTTTTACGTCAGTTCCGACGTTCGTCAAAAGTGGCGCTTCTAAACATAACTAAACATAACTAAACATAACTGGTGGCATACTTGTCACCACCCCGTTATAAAGGGGACGCTCATAGCATCCATCCATCCAAGCCGCCAAAACACGGATGGACTTCTTTAGACTTCAGAGGCTAAATCCTGCTGAAAAAGAAAGAGAAGGAGAGAGAGAAAGGAAGAAGGGAATAAAGCGTGTTGCACTGTACATCAGGAATGCATAGCCAGCAGGTTAGGCTATTGTGCCAAAGATTCCAGGAATTGCTTGGTTGCTCGCCTTTGTACTCAGGTGACTGTAGAAGCGTTTTTGAAGGACACAAAGAACTGGACCTTGCCTCCCCATATTTTTGAAGCCCTTAGGACATTATCTGAAGCGCGCTTTCCCATCGCAGGGAGGTGACGAGTGTCTGGCAGTGTATGTGTGTTTGAATATTTCACGTGACGCCGGTTGAACTAGGATAACAATGGACTTTTTTTCGGGAGACTAGCCTGCGCATGCGAAGTGGTGCAAGTGGTGGTGACTTGATGCCTTGTTTTGGGGGAGTAACAGAGCCAAACAGCTTCTATAAACGCTGCACAGGGCGGTGACAGGTGCGAACTGAAGGGCACCTGGCGTCGTTTGCAAATTATCCCGAAAAATACCAGGCCTACGAGATTTTTCTACCGGGCCGTGGCGGATAACTTCGGAGGCCACGGACTCCCAGTTTCGATTTCGGTGATCTCCACTGGAGGCGCTGTTCGGACCTGAAAAAAGCCCATTGACTCTGATGATTTGAGGCTGATCCCTTTGTATCGGGCGGGCAATATTAATTCGCCCTAACCAGAGAACAAAAAAAAAACACCTATCAAGTAAATAAACTAAAACACTCCACAGGCGTACACACCCCGTACCAGTTCGTATAGTTAGTCTGCACGCCTTCAATTTTTGTCCACGTAAATCACTACCTCTGCGTCGCGCGCCACCACTGCAACAACCTTGTTGGATGGATGGATGATATGAGCGTCCCCGTTATAATGGGGTGGTGACAAGTGTGCCACCTGGCTCGAGAAAAAAATCTTTCTTTTTTTCTTTTTTTTATGTTGACCTTTGCAAAATAGTGAGCGACCCCTGGCCAATACCCTCTAGACTAGCTGAGGCCTCTTGACGTCATCACACTACGACGGGAGCCGATGCCGCGTTCTCAGAAATGCCCATTGCTACGTGCTCGTTGTGTACTCAACGGCGCGCTGCGAATCCATTCGTTCATGCTGTCTCCCGTTTCCCGAAAGCGCCGACAAGGCGACTCCGTCGTAGAGGGTGTTGCACCTGGCGCCCACTTTGCAAACACCTGTAAAACTTCTGCTTCCCTGACTGCTTTTCTCGCTCTAAACGTGTTCACCACTCCACATTCATACGAAGGGGCAGGATCAGCACCAAGACTTCTCAAAACGTACTTCAGGAATGTTACGCCTCATTGTAAGTTTCCTCTTCCACTGAGAGAAAGGAGAAAACGAAAGAAAGGAAAGACAGGGATTAGTGGTAAATGGGAAAAAAATTATTCGTCTGCTAGTCTGTGGTTGAGGCTTTCGTGTGGAAAACAAGCTTACTCGCATATGCGCAGTAACTCTTTTGCAAGCCGTTAGTTAGCGAGCCATATTTCCCCGACTGCAGCGAAAAGTGCGGATGGCTGCGTGAACTCTAGCGTTCCCAGCCGCGCGCAGCAAAACAAACGTAACGCGTCCCGACGCCTACTGAAGTTTGGAAACGCAGGAATAAAGCTTGCACTGCTGAGCAGGGCATTCGTGTATACGCCTTGTGCACCGCCTATAGAGGCGCCACTGATAGCCACCTGCGCCCCATACATCTGTTTACAGCTGCGCCCCATACATCTGTTTTGGGATGCATGAGGCTCATAGTGTTCTCGCTAGCAAAAAGGCAAAGCCCTTCTGTCGTTCATGCATACAAAATCACCATTTTTGGCTCACTGCAAGGCACGGAAAAGGGGCTTTGTGTAATGATAGCCAGGAAGTAGTGGAAAGGAGCTTCCTGGGTAGCTTCTGAATGTAGCGACATAAGTATCAAGCGGACCATGCGCGACACCCACACTACATTCACAGTGGAACCAAAGCTGCTGACAGTGGAGAAATCTATAATTACTATGCACGTGCACAAGGTCGGCGTTGTTCCACGCGACCCAACACTGCTGGTATTTAGGGCCACTGAAGAACTTCCTCGAGAACTACTCTTTTTCTACTCTTTTTCTTTCTACTCTTCTTTAGCGAGGAAGAGAAAGAGTCGGTTCAGAAACCAAACCATTATTTCCAGCAACCCTTGCGGCAGCGCGGTTCAGCGCTCTATTGTAAATAGTTATACGTTACCAGGAGAGAGAGAGAGGCACCTTTTTTCCCCACAGTTGCACGGGAGTACAAAGGCTCTCGGGTCCGTGCCTTTTTTTGTTGCTGTTGTTGTTATTGGGGAGCGGGAGGGGGGGGCGGGGAGGGCGTCACGCACATTTGAAACGTTTCAAAGGAGATATGGGAGCAGCAGCACCCCCGAAAAGAATGGATTAGTTCCAGCAGGAACAGGCTCTTCGCCACTGCATGCTACAACGGCGGAGAGTGCATTTTCCTCCCTTTTTTCCAAACGTGACTTAGTGGCGTCTTCTGGTGGCTCAAGCAGAAACTACTCGCAAGATGGCGACGGTGGTACCGTCACCTTAAACGAGCATAGGAATGATGGGTAGTCACGGAGGAAGGAAAGGAGAGGGCATGCCCAGCCGGCGCAGGGCGTAAAAAATGTGGCAGAAATGACATCATGGCGGCCATATTCACTAGGCACAATGGCGGCGTTGCTATGGTTACGTGTTGCGCAGTGGACGCGGGCAGTGGAGCTAGTCTCGCAGTGAGCGGCCGCGGCGGAATGTGTGCCTCCCCAGGTCTTGTGCTGAGCCGTGGCGGACAATATCTGTGCTCTGCGCCGCGTTATTGGTTACGCAATGTTCTCCTGGCTGTTACATTACTCTTAGCAACGCTTACAAATCCCTTTGTCCATCATGGGGTTTCAACAGTGCGTAGAACGAGTGCATATCCATGTGTCGTGCGGCGGATGACGCGGATGAAGCAGTTAGTGTTCAGCGAAATCGCGTTGGGCACCATGACGAAGCTGAATGACGACGAATGCCTTGCAGGTCAGTGACGGTTGAGCAGTGCTCCTGCTTGTGACAACGGACGACGCTGTTGAGCCCAGCAAGACGCCGTGATGACCATGTGCACATACGTAGTTTCGTGTTGTGTGTGTACAGTAACGACTTGCATGTGCGTATTAAAACACCTTTTCTGTTCCGCTTGGTACACTCTCCACCAGCATTGCATGTAATCTCAACGTAACAGCAACCGTGTTCAACTGTCACTAGCACTGTGCTCAAAGTCACCACGGTCGCAGAATGCTGACGCCGGTGAGTTTCACGCGGAACACGGACACAGTGGCAGGACGCTGCGTCGGCCGTTTTGCGGAATGCAACCGTACAAGGCGCACGACCGATCGTGTTGTCTGTACAGTTGCTGAATTAATGACGTGAAAGCACTCGCCGTTGTCA